ATCATCACCCTACTTCTCATGTTTCAGGTACTCGTCACGTCCTCACGTTCTGATGGAGCACCTGATACTAGCGATATATACGGAGAGCTCCCAACACTTTGATACTCATAGTCAGCCCAAGGAGCAGTCTCCTGACTGAAATATCGCAAATCATATCTGATGAACATTGACCAATCAATCATTAATTAATGATTTGTGGATTTATTAATTTGAAGCAAATTAATTAATCCAATTGATGAATTCTAATTTTTTTTACCAATTATTATTTTTTGCTAAAAAATAATCCAATTAATTTGGATTATTTTTGGGCAATCATTAATGAATAATTGACGAATTAATTAATTTGGAGCAATACTCACTGTGCAATCGGAGTAATCCCACATAATGAGCACAAATTTTGTTATCACTTACTCATTTCGCGGATAAATTAGAGTTTTTTAATTAAAAAATATAAAATTAACTGTTTTTTAACCTTCAGACACTGGAAAACGTAACCTATATTAATAGCAGAACGTTTTTATTGTAAACGAGCCATCACATTTAAATGGTCTAGGGAATTTCCGTCAGCCATACCCGTGTCGGTAACTTGACCCTGTCGGTAATTTGACGCTTTCGGCAGAATGACCCCCACCCGAAAAGCCCTATTACATATTGTTTGTTATCGACTATTGATAATTCAGTTAGGCATCTTCAATTTGATTTTTGGTTTTGCTTTTGTATTAGCACAATTGAACAAGGATTATTGCTATTGGTTTGTATATTTGTCGATAAATTGACTTATTTAGGCATGAATATTAATTAATTTCCTTTGCTTAGTTCTTCGTTTTATAGAAAAATGCTGAAAACGATACAGAAGGTGGTGGTAGCCTTAAAAGATTTACCACAACCCACGCGGCGATTTAACCTAAGCAAACACGGTGATAGTTGTGCTACATATATTACTAATTAATTCGGAGTGAAGGTCGCTCAAAAAGTGTTATAAACGACATTTTACACTTTTTTTGTAACAGTTAGTTATTTCTAAGCCAGATATTCAATTCAAGATTGATAATTTTTTTTGTTTCTTTAATAGTTGGAAGGAAGAGCACGATGGCGGAAAGTTTGGATCAGAGCATTGTATGGATGGATATGGAGGTAAAATCATTATATTTTTGAGTTAGATTATCATCACGTGGTTTGAAAGAACTTGCTTCTATTTTATCATTTTGTAAATTATTGACATTTCTGAAGAAGCGCCAAAATGATTATTTAGAAAACATCTTCGAAAGGACGAAATGGGAGAGAAATATCGAATGACTCTTTTTGTAGACAATATTATGGGCTGCAATCAAAGGCTTCCTAATATTTTTCCATAAACTCGGTAGTTTCAGGGATATTTGCGAAATTGGGCGAACTGAACAGTGTTCGAACGAATAACCATATTATCGTAGTACAAATGTTTGAATCCACGCACAAAAAAATTTAATGGAAAAACCTAGTGAATTTGCTGGTCAATTTTATTGAATTTCTAGTAAACTTTCTATTAGTTTTTGGCCGATTCTATTGAAATATTCAATAGAAAATATTCTATAAAAAAAGTCGATAATAGTATATTGTGCCCCTAGGGAGTAAAAGTATTTTCTGACGAATGGGACGTTATATAATCATATGAGTCAGAAAATACTTTTACTGCCGTGTGGCACACCATATTTTATGCCTCGAGGACTGAAAACCGCGATTTAACCGGGCGAAGCGAGATTAGAATCGCGGTTTTCCGTCCCTAGAGGCATAAAATTGGATTTTTCTATACAACTATTGTGATATTTTCTGTAGAATTTCATCGGCTCAAATTTTCCAAGTTTTTTTGCTGGATTTTTTTTTAATGAAAAGAAGAGAAAAATAGAATGAAAAAAACTAGGAAAATTTGAGCCGAGGCAATTCTATCCAAAATTTCTCAATAGAGTAAGTTGTATAGAAAAATCGAATTCTATTGACTTCTTCTATAGAATATTTTCTATAGAATTTTTCAATAGAATCGATCAAAAGCTGATGGAAAGTTCAATAGAAACCTCCTAGAATTGTCTTGCGCTTTTGCTAGATTTTTCTATTAAAGTTTTTCGTGCGTGCCCAATGGCACGGAAATGTTGTTCCCTTTAAAAAATATAATAATCAGAAATTCGATGAGACCTCAAACTCTCATATTAAAATGAGTAAATCTTGTTTGTTCAATCATTGGCATCTGATGACTCTTATTTGTTCAAACTCTGGATGCTTTACCCTAGTCTGATGGAATCGAACGATGCTTTTACTTGCGTATTTTGAATTTGATTGTTCTAGATGAGTGGATTGGACATCTTCAAAGATCATATCCTCGAAATCGCTTGTCTAGTCACTGATAAGGAATTGAATGTCAAAAGCAGTGACTTTCATTTAATTATTCATCAGCCTGATGAAGTACTGAATAGTATGAATGAATGGTGCACTGAAAATCACAAATCAGTGAGTAGGAAAGAAACCACACCAATAAAATAGTTTAATCCTTGGAATAGTTCAATTTGAATGTGAAATTAATTAATTGTGCATCAATCTGAGGATGCGGAGTTAGGGATGACAAAGTCTCAGAGACACTTTAGGATTATAAATTTTTGGTTCAAATCCTTAACCATTAATTGCTTTCATCTTAACTAACTAGTGATTTTAAGAATATCAAATCGTACAATATTGGAAAATAAAAATAGAAATCGTTACTAAAATAATAGGACACCAACATATTTCCATAAATGCAACCGTCAAATTTGTTTTGTAATCCTATCGATTTTTTCTTCCAGACTGGTCTTTCTGATGCTGTTAGAAGTAGCGAAATAACCCTTGAAAGCGCAGAGCAACAATTATTAACTTTCCTAAAGAAATATGTACCTGAAAAGTCTTGTCCACTAGCTGGAAATTCCATATACATGGACAGACTATTCCTGAGAGTACATATGCCAATTGCAAACGAATACTTGCATTACCGAGTCATCGATGTGTCAACAATTGTTGAACTAGCAAAGTAAGTAATTTCATTCAATCGTTTGTAATAATCCATGCTGTAGCATTCACTAAGTTAGAAATAAATTCCAATTATTCCTAGGAGATGGAATGCCCCAGCAGTCTCAGCAGATCCCAAAAAACTACGCCTTCACCGAGCAATTGACGATGTACGAGAAAGCATAGAACAATTGAAATATTATAAATCAACATTTTTCAAAACCCTACAATAATTTGGACTGAAATCAAGTGAAAAAAATAAAAACTAAATTTTCTCAGTTTTGAGCAGGGTTCGGCTAGAAAATTACCCCGAGTAAATTACATGGTTTCTGACTTGTCACAAACTACGTAAATTACATAGGAGTTTTCGAGATATTCAACATGTCAGAAACCTATTTGCCTTGCGAAGATCAGACGTCGTAATGGTCATACACCGCGAGAGTCAATCGTTGCTACCAGCATAACTCGCAAGGGTCAAGCAACAGAGGCAGACGGAAAAATGTCAAGGGTCACACAACCACAAGGACCATACGGGAGAATCTTCTGATTATCTCTTTTTCCTCTGTTTGATCTTCACGATCGTTGGACCTTTGTGATTGCCCTACCTGCCTTACGTGATTGACTTTTGTGGTCGTTTTAGCCTAGAGAATATGCTACCTCAGTGGTACGACCCTAACGAGGCATGACTCTTGTCAGCTGTACATCATCATGGCGCCGTTTGACCCTTATTATTTTCCAGCTTGTAAAAAGGTTTCTGACACTTTTTTACATTTTTGGCACTCCCGAGGTAAATTACCAGTATTTTACCATGTCAAAAACCCTAGTTTTTTACTGATAGAATGATCTCGATACAAGCGATTTTGGAGGAAAAAATGTAAAGACATTTTATTTATTTTGTTTTTAATGTGAGTTGCCGCAAGGGGTTTGCGACTGGCCATCGCCCGAAGGCCTTCAGCCTGGTATTCACAGAGATATTTAGTTGAATGTTATAATGTTCACTGTGTACATACAATATAGATCAAAACACAAAAAGAGGTAAATAGAGTTTTCTTGTACATTGGAAAATATATGGGATGCGATGTAAAGACATTTTGCCAGGAAATTTCTTTAACTACAAAAAACGTTTTTTGACATTTATTCCTAAGACCATTCATTACTAAAATAATTGGACAATTAATCTCGAGTGATTTACAGATTGAACGTGCACCAATTCCTCTTTCATCTTAGTAATCAATAATTTTACAAGAAAATGTCAGATTTTTTTGGTAGTTTATTAAATTTATCATTAAAATGTCTATTAACATATCCCTCAAACCACTCCCCTTCGAGGAGAACCCACAATTATTAACACAATGCAACACTCAAAATTCGAGTTATTGCACTACGACTTTACAGTATAATCAACACCCCCTAGGTAATAATTGAAACGTTAATGCAATAAATCATGTTTATTTTGCAATTTGAATTATGTAAAACTGTTCCTTTAATAATCATAACCTAACCTTAATGGTCGCGTGGCAAAAATGTAAAAACCACCGCAGCCCACGAGAACAATTCCACGTGGCTTGATCCAATGAAAATCGACGTTAGTGAGAGATGACCGAACGATCTCAACGATAAAACCGAGTTTCAACGAAAACAACCGACTGATCATTCGGTCCCGAGTCGTGATGCGAGGTAAAATTCCAACCAAAAAGGGCAACAATGCGAGGGTTTCAATGTCACGGTTGAAAATAATTAATTATTCTTTTTTAATCAATTAGGATCCTTAAAAATTTACTGGTAATTATTGAAATTTTTTTTTTTTTAATGATTTCTCGTGAGAAGTGGGTGAAGATCATCGAAACTCAAGAGCCAGTTGACAAAACGTGTATAAAGGACCTCGGGTTTAAAAATAGTTGAGGAGATACCCCGTATTCTTTTTCAAGGTAGACAAGCTGTGGATGATACTGAACAATTTCCAATAATTATACAATTGATTTTCAGTTATTTGTTGACTGAGAAATTTAAGAATTAAAGGATAATTGACAGAATGGCATCGAGGGGGAATATGGCACAAGCACTGGGCACAGATGGCAGTGATTTTACTCACAGAGAAAAAGTTGCAACACAATATCAAATCAGGTAAGTAGATGATAAATGTATTGTTGTAATGAATTGAAGGTAATTGTTTCGTTTGTTTCAGTGCTCTCAATAAGTCAAGACTGAAGTATTGTATATTTTTTCACTACCTCCTATTCTTCGTTATGCTGACCAAATTGTCGGCAGATATTTTAGATCATTTAGATATATTTATTTTGGAAATTGAGGAGTTACAAATTCCACAGGTGAATTATTTTTGAGTTTTATTGATTATTGGTTTGGAGTAGAGCGGTTACTCATGCATTTATCTCGGTAAATAGTAATTTCAATTGACAATGTCAGATTTTTTAGAGGAATAGATATTTATTACAAGAAAAGTTTGCTCTCTTTCCATGGAATCATTAATCCCTGAGATAATTGTATAACTAATGAAAAACATTACGATTATGCATTCGTCTCAAGAATGACTGATTTTCGATTAAAATGCAAATGTTTTTCCTTAAATTCATTCGCTTTACAGACAATTCTATAATTAATGAGATAAGTTACATTTGAATTCAGTATCAAGGCTTTCTTTTTAATTATGCATTCAATTTTTCAGGGCAAACATCAGAGGCCCTTTTTTTATAGTGAAAAAAATGTATGCGAAAAGTTTCTTCTGAATTTTTCCCATATAATCGTCTATTTCTGAAATAATTCAATAATTAATTCAATAATTTATGTTCAGCTGGAGAAAAAGCTTCAATTGTTAATAATGCATCCATATCAATACTGCGCGGTTCTAGGGAAAAAATGTACTACGAAGAATGTGTTCTCACTTTCTTCTCTGTTTTTTTTTCTTAATAAAATGATAAATCAGAAGATCAGCCGTCTCCATGTCGAATATAAAGACATTTATTATTCATTATACATTTATTTCGGAAACGAGTGATTCAAGGAGAAAATACTAGGAGATTGAGAAAATTCTCCAAGACGATGTTTTTCAACGTTTACCTCTGGAAACATGCTTTCCTGAGATGGTGGAATAGTTGACAGGATGATTCGTATTAGAGTGAAATATGAAATATTTGCTGATTATGCATTCAATTTGAAATTGATTCTGAGAGAAAATCTCAAGAAACTTCTTTTGTGTAATATGTTATCCTAAAATTATGCATTGACAGGATAATATAATGATTGCGCAGATGTTAATTCATTAAGCTGAACTGTTCAACTTATTCTTCACTTATGTGAATTAACCTTGAAAATGCCTGACGTTTATTAATAATCCGCTTTATCGATTTTAGCCATTATTGTGGGAATACATCTGGTGTTCGAGTTTGCTGGTATCATTTTTAGGACTAGCGGCAGTAAAGAAAAATCAAATCAAGACACTTCAGAAATATATGATTGGCATCCTCCTACTTGGATTTGGTCCACTGTTTTATGCGTTTATTTACTATATTTCTGATGTTTGGATTTATTTGACTGTTGGGAAAACCGAGGAAATACAGTTGTGGCAGGTAAATATCACTTGTTTATTCATCAATAAAACGTATATATTATTTTGACAATATCTCCACTACTAGTAGTTTTAGAATGTTACATTAATATTTTGGCTGCATGACAATTTAACACACGGTCATCTCAACATAAAAAATATTTCCTACAATGGTGGTTCATGCTGGTGTTCGGCAACCTAAGTAATGCTGTTACATGCTTCTGGGTGACATTATTTGTAATATACAGTCACCTCTCTCTAACTTCTATACTCTTTCATTCCGCAGTGACTGAGACCGACATATATTTTTGTCATTGTTCCAATAACGCCACCAAAGAGAGTTCATGACTCCTCCTAAACACTCATTTTCGAGAATTCGTAGCCCCAAGGTGGAAAAGCTAGATGGAGTTGATGGACTCAACAATGGCTGTTTCTTTCTAATGTCCGCTTAACAGCAAAAAACCCATATTAATATATTATTAAATATGGACAGTTCAGAATAATATATTGTGCATCTGTATAACTTTGTGACCACATTTCGAATCGATTCAAATAATGCTACCAGGCTACCATGAATCAATTTAAACCCCTTTCAGACATCACATAATATTATGAATGCTTATATAGATGTACAGAATGTACCCTCCGGTAACTCCTTTCATGAGGCATGATAATTAAAAAAAATAAAGTAACCAGGTTATTGGAAATTGATTTCAAGAGGCCATGGTAAGGCATTAGTATCAATTGCCTGACGAGCACTGAGCATTATCCAGGGTTCGCAATAGTGAAAAAATTTGTTTCCTATTTTTACGCCAAGTAGCAAAACGGAAGATTGCTTCGTGATAACTCGAGTCATTATAAGTCCATATACTGTGTCAGATTACATGTCAAAACGACACACGTAAATGTCAATACAAATTCGACACAATTATCAGCAGTCTTCGAAATCAATAAATATTTGCTTTTGCCATGAGAATTCATTTAATAAAAAATCAAAAAATATGAACAACAATACAATGAATTGTATCAATAAATGAGAACATATAAATCAGTAAATCGGCAAATTCAATAAATTTATAGCAAATTACAATTAAATAAATCATAACAAAATAATATCATAGATATCTCAATACTCATAATTACAAAAAGATACAATACAATACAAATTCGAAAATTCCAACGTACGCACCGTCGAAGTGCCCGACGATCACAATAAATAGGATGACGAAACACAACGCTTTAGAATGAATCAGCGACATAAACCTCTCCATCGTCTTTCTGTCTAATCAAGCCATAAATGCAAATATTGCTGGCTTTACACATGTGTTAAATTTGTATATGTTAAATTGTTAAGTGTTGAAAATGCTTGAGTTCAATCTGTGTGTTCAAATTTACGTGCGTTATTTTGACCGGTAACCGCTATTTATGTTCTGGGCGCCTCCTCTCGAAGGTATCGGAAATATTTTTTTCTTATGATTCCTATATGCAATTCGTTTACGGAGCCACTTCCGATCTCAGAAATAATAATTTAATTGTTTATAACACCATTACGCTAAAATGGTTAAAGCTACGAAAAGAAGTTTCAAACAAAAAATATTTTCCGTCTGAGCGAACAAGCTGAACAAGCTGAAATATGTTTCATGATAGACCCTGGATACTTTTGTCTTTCGATTCTAACTTCACTTATTCTCGCCTCCTGTTATTAAAAAAGATCTCTTCGTTGTGTTCTAATGAACCGCCCTTTAATTTGACTGGTGTTGTGTTTCATTTATTAAGAAGGATTAACAATATATTATGTTGAACGGCTTTTCTTCTTATCTCTCATAGTTATCGAAAATTTACCCCTAAAAAAAAGCGCGGAGGGCAGGCACGCGTGGCCCGTCATGCACTCCGCCCACACTATAATGAAAACGGTTGGAGATGGAGAAAAATAGTTCAGATAAAAAATGTTCGTTATGAAAATGTATACAACTTTTGTAATATAACATTTTTACGTAACTCTCATGGTCGATGAAATAATTTAATCCATACCAGCAACAATAACCCCAAGTGTTCTTTCCTGCGGTAAGAAAAATCGAAGTTATCGTATGCAATTATACAATTTATCGAATTGTGATATCCAACAACTTTTAGATCGTTTTCTAGCGATTAATTTTCATTTGAAACTTTTTACTCTGTGTCGATTATTTACGATATTTGGAGGTAATGACGGCGAGTAGTGTCGAAAATGCCATTTAGCATCGCCGAGCGTTCGATGAGGACTATTGTTTTCTAGGGGATTGCTGCGGTTCTCCACTCCATACAAATATTCGTTATAAAGAAGTCAACACCTTTTCTTATATAAGATTTTTTCAGAGCTTTAATAGTCAGTAGAGGTTTATAGCACGAACGTGGTATCTAATATAGTAGATAATAAAAGGAAGAAGAACAAGATATCTTCATGTTTTGAAGACTGAAAACAAACTGAAATAAAACCTTTATTCCCCAACGAAAGAATACTCCAAATAGTGTTCCAAGAAAAAACAAGTGGATAATTGCATTTTTTTATAAATGAGTATAATTACTCTTGCTAATAAATTAACAATTTGCTTCCGAATGGATTCTCTTTTGTTAAAATTCTTTGTTCACTGTTTTCTTCTATTGTTTCATGGCATAGGACTATCATTGTCAAATGACTCTACATTCAAACCCTCTCAAGACTCGAACACGTTTTCAATCCGGGTTTAACCAAGGTTTAATCAGTGTATAGTCAGGATTCAATTAGGGGTTTATTCAGGATTCAACTAGAGTTGAACCCAGGTTCTGTCAGAAGTTAGTCGGAAGCATGAATCAATATGAATGAGTATTCAACATAATAGACTGGAACCTGAGTTTAACAGAGATAGAGATTTTGATATAAAAAGCTCACGATGGTATTGTGTAACTTGATAAGCAATGATACTGTTCTCACCATTTTTCAACTTGATTAAGAAACCATTGAAATATACTTTTTGACACTGCTGCTACGTTCACCACGTGCCGAAAAGTACCTTTTAGTTTACTTGTGACCGAAAAAGGCACAGCTCTGCCACTCGCTGAACGTAACATCAAAAAATGTCAAAAAATATTGTTCGACATATGTGAGACGGGAATTTTCAACTCGTGTGATTGGCAGCCCTCGGCTTCGCCTCGGGCCGCCACACGTGAAGATTACGTCTCATTCCAAACAATGTACTCCAAACAATGTGCTCTAACTCAACAATGAATTGTGCGACCCTCATCATATTCTGATAGAATCAAGACGGTATTGTTATCAATTTTTTGAGTAATCGTTAAAAAATAGATTCGTAGAAAATATAAATTTTTTCGAATCTGTATGAAAAATGGAATCCAAATTGGTGTCAATGAATAGAGCATATAAAAGTCTATATTCATAAAAAAACTCACAGAATTGGATTGATCCTTTACAAGAAAACTTCGGAAAAAAAATGAAAAAAAGATCACGTATATACCATCCCCAAATCACATATTCCGACTTTTTAGGCCATTTTAGTTGCCCTAATACAAAAAATTAGAAACTTGAATTTCAGCGATTACAAAACTTCCATTCGGAAGCAATAAGACTTTAACATCTGGACTGGCCACGTGTGGCGAGGACAATGAAATCCCTGAAAATCAAAAACAAATATTTTTGTAAAAAAAGCTCTACCAACGAAAAGTTTTGTTTAGTTCTGACTGGGAAGTAGAAATTTTTGACAAATACAAAGAAATGTGATAGAAAGCCAAGTTAGGAATGTCGAATGAATAGTCATCGTGCGCAATCAGATTTCTATGAGGCAAATACTAAATACTAAATTGAATAAGGTTTTTAATAAATTCTCTATGAAATAAAAAATCAGTAGAAGTCAGACCAACGTTCTTGGCGCGGATCAGAAGATGAGGGATTAGATTCATTTTAGACAATGAGTCGGCCAAGCACATGGATCATAGAACCACGAGCGGGGGGGGGGGGGCGTAGGGCGACAAAAAGATTCATCNATCAACGATGTGGGGACGGTTAAATAAAAAAAAGAATACTGAATTTAGTGCTTAAACCTTGGCAATAAAATTAAAATTTTTGATTGGCAATTTTGTTGCAGGGGTATCCTTATGGATTTTTATGGTACGCCTTCATTCTTCTGGCGACACAGGTTCATTCGTGCTCTCTACTCTTTTCCTGGAAATTGCTCGTAGCGTGGAAATCTCGAGGCGCCAGAAAATATCAATGAACCATATCAGATTAAAAGAGAACTACGAAAAATAAAAAACAATGATAAATAATGGAATTCTTGTGTTCAATTATTTCACAAAATCATTGGTGAACCGAAATAACTGCCACGAGTTCTAGAAATAAATGAAAAATTTCAACCGAAGTTGAACTTATTTATTCACATGAAAAAATCAATAAATCACATGAGCAATTATTTGCGGCAGAAAACTTGAAAACGAGGGAACTTTAAATTTATTTCAATTTTACAGATAAGAGCTTTCCTTCCATGGGGAGTTTTCCTCAACATCTACCACTTCCATTGGCACCAAACTTCAAACATGATATTTGAAATATCCTAAATTCCAAAATAAAATATTGTACTCTTAGCAAATCAATGTTTATCGGACGTAGAGTGGAATTTTCGAACGGTCAGGATAAATTCTCGTTATAGAATAGAATGTAATTATTCGTCATCCATTTTGACTGGAAGATATTATCAATTCACCCATTACTTTCTCACTCGAAACAATTGGCAATTTTATCCATTGTCATCTTTCATTCAAACTTGAAAATGAGAACATTATTTGAAAAAGGTTTTCCCTACGGTTGGGTGCACAGTCCACATTTCTCTTCTGCTTCGCGGAAGGGGAACACAATTAGATAATTAAAAATTAATTATTTTCTTAATTCAGGCCATTTGAAGGTGCATTGCAGAGCATTGTCACTTGGTCAATTCTAATTGATAGTGAATATTTATTTTCTTATTAATTGACAACATTTATAGAAAAAAGCACCTCATTTCCGATTTTTTTTAATTGAAGGTCAAAATAAACATTGTCAATAGATTCGAAATCGTTTGTAGGTGATATATAGTCCATTGTTATGAGTATCAATAATTGTTTATGCGATATTAATTAATTAAAGCAGAGATTATAAGGGGGATTGTCACCGCCATGATAGTCCATACGCAATACCCCCTTCCCGTGGTCACTAGGAGGTCGATGGAATTTTATCATTGGATTTTATATTTTTAGGGGTGAGGAATCCGAATATGTTGTTTATTTTGTCCTCCCGTCGCGCAATCATTTGTTATAAACAAATTATTCCCATTTTTAGTGAATAAATGTTCTTCCGGGAAAACACAGGGAGATACAGAAAAATTGTTCAAACAAAAGTTATTCCTCTTTATTTCACCAATAAAATGGCGCGGAGCAGAGTATCTGAGTGAATATCGTTGGTTTGCACATTCTGTATTGCATTAGATTTATTCACTAAAAATGGGGACTAATTTGTTTATAACAAATGATTGCGCGACGGGAGGACAAAATAAATAACATTCGGATTCCTCACCCCCAAAAACATAAAATTCAATGAGAAAATTCCATCGACCTCTTAGTGACCACGGGAAAGGGGTATTGCGTATGGACAGATGGGAAGAGAAGGCGAGCTCGTTCTCGAGTCAATCATTTTTGTTTTGTTTTTCAAAACATTCGCCACTCGTCTTATCTCGAAATACAGAAAAGAGAGAGCTAATCGACAAAAATATAAACAAAGCCCCTACGGCTTTCAAGACGATCAGTTGAGTTCCGTTCTTCAACAGAGCTACATCTTTTTCAAATCCGACGGGTTTGCCAACGGAAGTTCGAACTATGCTCTTATTTTGTTAATTTTTTTTTATGGCGAAAAAAATTTCTCCCTATGAAACGTGCACGTATGAAGGCTGTGAAGTGACATCGTGGCAACGTCAACATCTCTTCAGATTTCCTTCTGATGACCAACGACGTCTTATTTGGATTACTAATTGTGGTATGTTATTGATTATTCATTTTTCATTTATTATTCAATGTCGTGTAGGGGGGATGCACAAAAGGGAAGGGTTAAAAATTTTAGGCGACAAGCGGAGGGGGTTGCAGAATCTACCTGAGCCACCCCGATCCCTCCGTTGGCATGCGTTAATTAAATAAAAAAAATAAAATTGTTAAATTTTGGACTTCGCGAGTGGGCGGGGGGGGGGACGCACAATAGGGGAGGGTTATAGAATTTATCTGAGCCACTCCCATCCCTCCGTTCGCATGCGTTAATAAAATAAAAAAATGAAAATGTTGAATAATTTTTTTTAATTTTTTATCTAATCATCGCATGGGAACGGAAAAATGGGGGTGGCTCAAATAGACGTTGCAACCTCATCCCTTTGTTGAGCAAAATTGTCAGCCCTCCCCTGTTATGTGTCCCCCCTCCACCCCCTCGCAAAGTCCAAATACTAAAAACTTTTATTTAAATTTAACAATTTTATTTTTTCATGTATTTAACGCATGCAAACGGAGAGCTGGGGGTAGCTCAGATAGACTCTGCAACCCCCTCCCCTTCTTGAGTAAAATTTTCAACTCCCCTATTGTGCGCCCCCCTCACGAAATCCAAATTCTCAAAATTTTCATTTAAATTCAACAATTTTATTTTTTTATTCAATTAACGCATGCCAACGGAGGGCTTCGGTTGGCTCAGATAGATTCTGGAACCCCTTCTCCTTGTCGGATAAAATTTTCAACCCTCCCCTATTGTGCGTTACCTTTACACCACTACCGACCCCCCCACCACCCTCACGCCATGCAGTTCAACAGTGGAAAAAATTAATTAATTGTATATTAATTATTATGGTTCGCCCACAACCAAATTTCTATTCAAACATACCCCCACCCATTCAACTACTCCAAAAATGTTTCAACTCCCTCGGCCTTTGCAAACATCACCTACCCTCCACCCGCTCATTCCCCACAATTCGACAGTGGAGTAAATTAATCAATTGTTTTTTAATTATTATTGTTCATTCCCAGCCAAATTTCCATTCAGCTACACCCCTCACCTCCTGAAATATTCCTGGAAAAAAATGTCAACCCTCGCGGTCTTAGCGTATGCCATCCACCCCTCCCCATTCCAATTTTGCGGGAATAATATATGCATCAATTTATAATAGATTATTATTTGTTTTCCCCAAGCTATTTTCTATTTTGAGCAGTCCGCTTGGTCCTAAACTTCTCCGCAAAAAAATTGGACCCGACCCCCCTTTTGCTAACCCCCTATAATGCAGCTTCCAACCGAGGAGGGTGTATTTGAACTACACTAGTCGCTGCGTGTGACACGCTGCATGTGGTAGTGCCACCAGGCCCATATATGGATTTCTGCATGTGAAACGCTGCGTGCGGTAGTGCCACCAGGCTCATGTATGAATTTCTGCGTGTGACACGTTGTGTGTGGTAATGCCATCCGGGCCATGGATGAATTTCTGCGTCTGACACGCTGCGTGTGGCAGTGCCACCAGGGCCATATATAAATTTCTGCGTGTGACATGCTGTGTGTCACGGCAAATAGCCACGGCGTTGATTTATTTACGGTCAATGATTGAACGCCAAAGCTGAGAAGGTCCATGATTTAACGTGAAGGGCTAAACCCTTAATGGTCCCTCTTCCGTATATTAACGAACAAGAGTTTCGGATGGAAAGTGAAGCAACCAATAATGGTTCCTTCAATGTAGACGAGACCAGCCAATCGTTAACAAATGGAAAAGAACCTGAGATTCAAACTGCAGTATCAGAAGATCCGGCCATCCCTCCGATCAACAGTTATGAAACGAATGAATCGCTTTCACTTAATCCTATATTTTCTAAATAAATGAATGAAAATGAGGATTTGAAGAGAGAAGTCGAAAGATTGAGAGCTGCGAACAAACGATTACGAGAAGAGAACGACACACTTTGTACAAAATTAGAAGAACGTGCCGCAAAAATCAGAAATTTGCAATACCGGCTTAAGCAATCTTCAAAAATCACTGCACAAACAGTAGTCCAGGTACAATTGACGATTTATTGAGAACCCATGACCCGCCGCTGCATCCTACTGCTGAAACAATGGTAAGATTGCAGTTCCATAAACCAAACACTCCTTATAACCCGGAGGAACAGGAATTGGCGAAACAATTCCATTATTATTATCCTTCTGCTTCGGCTTATTCGCGTATGCGAAAGACGGGTTGTGTACTCCCAAATGAAAGTACAGTTCGTTAATGGGTAGCTCAGTACGAGATCATTCCGGGATTCTGCCCGACAATTTTCGAGAAACTGAAGCAGAAAATGTCCACTTTGAGTCCTTTAGATAGATATTATTCTCTAGCGTGGGATGAAATGTCGATTAAAAGCTATGAGGAATATTCTTCGAACTATGATTGCATTGAAGGACTAGTAGACCTTGGACCATTAGACGAAGGAACGAGAGAGCACCGTATGTCTTTTTCTTCAATCTTACCATTCTGAACACTGCAGATAAATGGCGACAGCCCATCGCGTACTTCTTATCTGGAAAAGGTGGGATGACTGCAGAAGATATGCATTTACTTTTACAAGAATGTCTCCAACGTTTGGAGGAGGCCATACGGTGACCATAGGCGATAGGATTTATTTCGTTGCTTTCGACTTTCTGCATTTGATCAAGACGGTAGTTACCGCACTGAGAAACAATGGAGCAATTTGGCAGAATGGTCGAGTTATTGTTTCGTGCAATGATTTCACCGCAACATATGCGTTCGACAAAAATTTGGCCACATCCAACCTCCCCGGTCACATTTCTGAGATTCATTTGTCTCCAAATTCCTTCCAAGCAATGAATGTAAAACGTGCTTTCCAAATATTCGGACATCGCTATGCACAAGCCATCAAATTGTGGGGAAATTCTTTGAAAAATTCTTCAGGATGCAATGTGGCTTCAACCACATGGAAAGACAGCGCCCAATTTGCTGAAAAAATGAATGATATTATCGACGCATGTAATTCGGTAGTCGTGCAAGATACAAATCCCAATAGAAGACCATTATCTTCAGCGAATCCTCAAATGGAGTCGCACATGGAGAATTCCTCAAAAGTCGGGCTTCACAGCTCTATCCTGTTTTCAAGGACTGCAGCTGACTGGAAATACTCTCATCAAAGTGTATAAACAGCTTTCCGAGAAACATCCAAATTTCAAATTTGTGACTTCACACGGGAATTAAGACGGTACCGAACATTGGTTCGGTCTCCTCCGAGCTCGCAA